TTGTGGGCGGAGTTTAGGTGGCACGATAACAAATTTTGAAGAGCGTTATATTGCTAAAGAAAATATAGATACAACATAATATTGAAAATAATGTATTGCACTGACTCAGCAACCCTAAAGCAGAAATATACAATTACAAAAAACACAAACTGCAATAAATAAATAGGAAAATAACAAAAATGTATAGGGCTGGGTATCATTAAGAAGTTGCCGATATGATACATACCTTGATACATAGGCCATGATACGATACATATCTCGATACAGTGAGCTTCCGATTTGATACGATATATTTCAAATCGATTCAATACGGCTCAATAAAAAATAAAGGCTAAATCATGTCTGTGATACTAAAAGTCTTTGTTAAACCTTTTTTTTCTGCAAAGTTCATAAGAAACACTAACATTTTAATCATTAAAACAGTGAAAATGTCAATTGTGTTACATAAACGAGTTTCCTTCCTCTGAACAAACAACGAAATTGTAACATTTTAATCAGTAAAACAGTGAAAATGTCAAATGTGTTGCATAAATGAGTTTCCTTCCTCTGAACAAACAACAAAACTGTAGCACTGTAACAAAATAATTTAGTAAAATATACCAAAAAATACTCTTGGTGATATATCGATACAGCAGCCCACGATATCGATACTGTATCAGCACATTTTAACGATACGATATATTGATATTTCGATATGTTTTCACACACCTAGTTACTAAGTTGCTCAGAAAAAGTACCTAAGATTAATATTTACCCCAAAAAACTATTGAAATAAGTATCAGTAGTAGTAGTTTTAAGTAAATAAATCTCAGATAAGGCATAATTATATGAATGCATGTGTGCAAGTAAAAATAAAATACTGAAATATAATAATACAAACATATTAAGAAGTCATAAGGAAAAACAGTGCAAAGATGATCTGATGATTGACGGGACATGGGGTTATCTATATATAGTAATTATCGTGAAATGCCTAGTCCCACTTTAAGTTTGAATATACCAGTTTTATTATCGTTTGCGTTCTCATGATATTTATTTTCTGTATTTGTTGTTCTTCCAGTTTGTGGCAGCAAACACCCCGATACAAGGAGCCTTCATACCACAGTACACTCAGATGCAGTCTACTCCTGTTTCAGTGGAGGTACGTACAATAACTTCACTTTGAATTTACTGACTAAGTCTGTCTTATCTTATCAGTTTTATAAACTATTCTTTATCTTATCAGTTTATAAATAACTTAAATTATCAATCTGAGTCAATTAATTACATGTATTTCTTGTCATCTTTCTGTATATTAGACAAACTTTACTGATCTGCAAGGGAAACTGCTTTTACACAGTAGCTCACACATCACAATTATAATAACAAAGGGTAAAAAAAATATATAAATGGTAATAATAAAGTCAAAATAAGTAGCAAATTGTTCATCTGTTTGCATTTATGTATGTTTAAAATAATTTGCATATAAGGCTGTGCTATTAATTGAATTTTGATTTCGATTTGTGTGTCAAACGATCTCCAAACTCATATAAGTTTTAACAATAAAGCTTGACAAAGTTTATTTTTGGATATTTTTTATATAAATAAGCATATTTATTTTATGTATTTAATGTAGAGATTGTACAACAACTGCATATATAGTTTATCTTGGATACATTTATGATTTTCTATGCCTTATTTCATTCAGTTCAAAGTATATTTTATTCTTTTTTTTGTTTTATACATCGCAAAACTGCGCTAAGGTACAGATTTGTAGCCTATATTTATTTTCAGTTTGAAAGTTTTGCATAAATTATCCATAACAATGTGTTTTGTTTTTTTTGTTTTTTGTTTTTTTTTTTGTTTTGAGAGAGAGAAATCCTGAATAAATGCATCATGTAACTAAAAAATAATAGTTTGAATTATCCTGATTTCAATATTGACCAAAATAATCATGACAATGATTTTTTCCATAATCGAGCAGCCCTATTTGTATGTATATATGCAATAAATTTAATGCAAAAATAATAAATGACAATAAATGGTTACTCAAACATGTCTGAATGAAACAAAGCGCAAGTCTGGTTATGTTTTTGAGGAGGTAACAACATTATAACATCATAAATTTTGCGTAATGTAAGACCTTTAAGCTTATTGCATGTTCAAACAAATGTAATTACAGAAGTTATTTGGAAAATCTCTTTGCTGTTCCCAGGAAAACGGTGCCCAGTCAGTGGACTCATCTGGCAATCCTTCCCCATACGCCTATCAACAAACCAAGTAGTGCTGAAATAGGTGACGTCTGAACTTAAGATGCATCAATCAAGTCTACACATGCAAAGGAGCTGTCGATGTTTTGCACAGGTTTTGCAAAACACGTCTTCAAAATTGTACAGAGTTTTATTTTGATACAAGAAACGTTTATTTTTTACAAAGGCTCAACACACAGTGGATCATGTAATTAGTGTGTATAGTGCATGAAAGACAATGTCGTTTTCTTTTTTCAGGTGATCTGAAATTTTGTGCTTGCTGTGTGAGTGTTGCTATGGTGATGTGTTTTGTCTTTTACTTTCTGTTTTGTGGACTTTCCTGTACTTTCGGTCAATCATGCTCTTGTAAACTTTGCCTTAACGCTTTTATAGACCTCACTTTTCAAACACAAAATCATATAAAAGCTGATTTCTCTTGATGTAAATTTATTAAGAATTATGGCCCTAGATGTTTGTGATGCTGAATGGTGGAAGACGCCCTTTTCCGTTTTGCCTGTTCTGATTAACTTTAGAGTGGTGTACATTGTTGGGATGGGGTATGAAATGGGATATTTTGTGGTTTGATTATTTTCTGTTTTTATTTTTCACTCACTGAAAAACGCAGACTTCAGCCAGCCTTGTGTAGACAAACATCTTCATGACCAACCTTCAGGTCCTGAATGCAGTTTAGTTTTGTTGCTCTACTCCTCAGTTTTTGAAAAGTAACCATGAGGCACTTTTCAGACCACCAAAGATCACAAATATGCAAGAAGTACACACGTTATGCAGATGTTAGCCGCATTATTTGGATAGTGTGCCTTTTTAATTTTTCACTCATCATTATGGATAGAAGAATGAAGGAAGAATCCTAACTAATTTTATCAGAACAGCTACAGTACTCTTTAGTGTGGCACTAAACAGGTGGTTTTGATAAGATCTCTATATTTTTATCACACAGGGTTCTGCAGGCTTGTTCTATGATGTCTTTAAAGAATCCTGCACTCAAACCCAGTGGTCAGCCAGACCAATTGTCTACCTCACAGCGATGTGTCCTCTGTACATGTGCGGGTTAGCAGGTCCAGCCCGCCTCTCAGACCAAACGCCATGCTCAGGAGCTGGTACAGCCGTTTTACTTTCAGGTCATTTTAATACAAGTTTCTTCAGACCTATTTTCTATAATACGTTACTATTGGGAGATTGTTTATGTTGCGTTGCTGCTGCTTTTTTGCATATGTGTGGTGGACTCAAGCTTGTTCATATAATTTCACATGGCTTGGGGCTAGTCAAGTTTGCAGCAGCGTTTTCTTGTTATTTTTGAGAAACCTAATTTGTTTTTATTGATATTTCTGTGTAAAAAAAAAACGTGAGACTGAGAAGTGATACTGTCATGTAAAGGTTTATGCTGCTAGTGTTTGAACCAAGTGCCATAGAGCCGCAGAGGTGCACCACAGACAAGTTGTCCCTAGTTACCACCATGTCAATTTGTCATTAAGTTATAAGAGAAAACGTTGTAATTTATGAAGATTTTTGTACAAACCGCTTGAGGAAATTCATAGTACTATATGAAAGTTTATTGTTTTATTTCTCTTTTTTTTTTTTTTTTTTACTTGTGCCACAGAATTGTCAGTGGCATCTGTACAGTTTGAGGAATGTTTCTGGTGTTTTTTTCTGTTTTATAGTGTTTGTTAAAGCCAAAGACTTTTTCAGCAGATTGTTGCCTAAGGTTTATTCTGTTCTCTTCTTTGACTTTTTTTGAATTAAACTTGCCTAAAAAATAAGCTGTTTAGTGTATTTGTGTGGTTATACATTTACACAGACATTCTCTGAATATACTTTAGCGTAGAGTAAAAGGTTTAAGAAGCTCTTTACATCTTTACAATTTACTGGACTGTAACTGTAAACCATAATGGCCATAACCCAGATTGTGAGTGCTTACATGGAGCATGGCCTGGCTGGGCCCGTGGCTAACAGGAGGTGGGTTGAGGGGAGAATGGGGTAGCCGTGCACTGAGTTTGGATGTAGTATTGCGAGAGCTGGCTTTGCCACAGCAGATGGGTCCCCGCGGTCTCCTGCAGGGTGTTGTGCCACTCTACGGGACGCCACGAGCTCCAGACGAGGAGCAAAACTCCGGCTCCAGCTGTCTGTGTTTGTGCCACCTACGCCTACAAGCAACAAAGCACCAACCCTCTTTCCTCCGACACAACAAGCACACTGCCCCGGGGGCTGTCCTCACCGCTGACAAGAATGTGGGAGAAAGAATGTTTTCCACACGCACAGGAGTACAAGGAGATCAAATACTACAACTCTCAGAGGTGCACATTTCACAAGCAGGTGACATCACCAGGCCAAGTTAAAGATCACATCTGTGGAGAGGCGGCCCCTCTCACAGTAAGAATTTTAAGGTAGTTTTAAGATATAAAAGCATCTGCAATTAAATAAATGAATTCTGCATAAATTAATGTCATACAGTGTACAGTAAATAGCCTATATATTCGGTATACAGCCAATTGATGTTTTATTATATCATCCAACACTACTGATCTGAGTGACGTGCGTAAAACGTGCATTTTGGGGTCATTAGAAACAGACTAAGCAAACTGGAGCAACTACTTTCACAAACTGTGTATATTACGCCATCTAGTGGCGCAGAGTGGGCATTAACGCAGGACTGTGTGTGTACTGCGGAATAATCTCTGCCATCACCTCCTTGTGGCTTGTGCAGTCATTGATCTTTTACGCGCGCTTCTGTGTCGCACTTACACTCAGTAAAAATTGAAAGTCCTAAATCCATCGTCACAACCACAGCTCCAGCCTTGTTTTGGGTTCTTTGGGGTAAAAGTAGGAGGAGCGTTGAAAAGTGGAGGTGGTTCCTATTGTCAGAAGTAGAAAACTTGCCAGGAAAGTGGGAGGTTTTCTGAGTGAGGCTTGCTGCATGCATGGCGCTTGGACACGCAGTTATGGAGGAGCTGAAGAACAAGTCGAGGCGCACTGTACTGTTGTTGATATGCGTTTGGTGCCTTCAACTGCGGGGATCTTTCGCTGGAGGCAAGTGTACAACATGCATCTCTCACTACAATAGAATCACGTCATTTGTTGTTGTGGCGCAGCATTTATATAGGCCTGTGTTTGTTGCGCGCTCGCTTGTTTGGAGTCCTGTTTAGTTTCGTGCCAGACTAGATTTTGGGAAGTGGAGAGGGCATTCAGGGATTTCGTAACAAATCAGTGCGTCGTTACGAAACAAGCAAGATCAGAGTGCAGAAATATAGACAGTTTTTTGGCCTCGCGAGTAACAGAATGAACAGAAATGCAGGATTAATGATGCGGGTTTGTTTAGCGTTGATATTTCAGAGAGCCTTTGAAAGCACGTGACAAAAGTGGGCTATTATCCTAAACCACAACAACGTCCAACTATACAAGGCAAGCAGTGAGAAACAAATCAGTCTTAACCAGCACAGTCTTAAAGAGGAACAGCTGTCATGCACTGAAACCAGCTGTAGCTTCATTTAAAGTGCTCCAATAAAATCTGAATTACTTACAAATTATTTTATCACGTGTCATTAATTATTTCTCTGTGTTTTTATATGTCAATGTTTCATACTTGTGTTTGTTTTCTTTAGACTGTCCAGCAGATGGAAGGATGTGGGTGCCTTTTGAAGACAGATGCTACCATTTTGTACACGGAGAAGAGGATGCTGTTAAAAGTTATACACTGGAAAGAGCAAAGACTTTGTGCCAGGGATTTGGTAGGTAGTAAATAAAAAATGACAGGTTTTTACTTCTGACTAGATGCAGGGGCGTTGGACTGGGGGGGTTAGGGTCCAGTGTAGAGGGGGGCTTTCACAAAAATCTGTAATGGACGATTTTTCATTACACAACATGAAGTGCGGGCCCATTCCTAAAATATAAGAAGACATAAATAGTGCCTTAACATTAAACATACAAGAAATTAATGAAAAGGAGCAGAAAGAAGCATCTTATGTAATTTTATGTTATCTTCCTCATTTTCCAGACAGTACACTAAACACTGATACTGTTACTTTAAAGGGATAGTTCAGAATTTTGGACATTGGACCTCATTTCCTTGTGAGCCAGAGTGTTGGAGACGTGTGGAGACACTTTTTTAAATATTCCATCCAGTCCTTGTATTTGCAGAGGTCGCTGGTGCTAGGCTAGTGCATGTCAATGGCCATAGTTATCCTGCCACTAAAAACAGTCTTACTCACTCCACAAAACACCTGAAGCAAAACTGTTATTACGCCAGACTGTCGATGTGAATGTCTGTGTTGATAGAATAATGTTTGAACTAAAACTACTCTTGCATCGCATGAATTGTCACATGTTAAGGTATTATTTTCTCATATATCAATCCGCCACTGCCAAACTTTCTGTCAGGAAGTACAACTCACTGCTGCTGCTCAGACATAAATCCTTCAAATGCAAGGTTGGTTTTACTTCTAAAATTATTCTATCAACACAGACATTTACATCAACAGTCTCGTGTAATAATTGTTTTGCTTCGGATGTTTTGTGGAGTGAGTATGACTGTTTTTATTGGCAGGATAACTATGGCCATTGACATGCACTAGCCTAGCACCAGCGACTTCTGCAAATACAAGGACTGGATGGAATATTTAAAAAAGTGTCTCCACACGTCTCCAACACTCTGGCTCACTAGGAAATGAGGCCCTATGTCCAAAATTCCAAACTGTCCCTTTAAAACATTTCATTTATTCTTAATCACAAGTATAAATCAAGTGCAAACAGATATCATCACTTTTATGCACAACAACTCAGTATTGCGCTGGATTTTATTTATTTGAACCCAGGGCCCAGAATTTAGAGCTACACTGCTGCAGATTCATCGACAGAAATTTGGGTTAGGGTTAGCCTTATATAATGTAATAGAAAGACAGTCCAATTCTGGGCCACTAAAACCCTGGTCCCCGAGATAACAGACCATTTTCCCCCTCTCTGTCTACTGCCCTGACCCCTGACTCCTCACTATATGCATTTTTGTCTGATATATGTTGCCTTTTATTCACAGAACTTTTGACGATCCAGAGCGCCGAAGAGAACGAGTTTGTCATGAAGTACAGTCCAGAGGTGTGGAAAGGCAACGTCAATGTGTGGCTGGCCATGTATTATGACACAAACAGTTAAGTACGGCACAACTGTGAACACTCAACAGCACGTCGCGACTAAAAATAACTCAATACAGAGCTCGGGGAGGAAAATATAGTGCAAAAGAATCACGATTGTTTGTCTGCTTTAGGTCCTATATTATACAAAATTGACTCGTGAGCTTTTAGTCATGTTATAACGCTGTTACCTCATTAAAAACATACCTGTAGATGTGTTTTGTTTCATTCACACATGTTTAACACACAAACACAACTCCCGGTATGTTTGTGATGAGGAAATAAAAACAAACAAACAAAAAACCCCGAAACGAAAAAAGTGTAATATGGGCCCTTTAAGTGTTTGAAAAAGATATAGAATAGAATAGAAAGCCTTTATTGTCGTTATACAGTATAATGAAATTCAGAGCTGCTCCATCAAAGTGCAAGAATTAATAACAAATAAAACAAATAGTTCTCATTCAGTATGGTGACAGCTTTGGGGAAGAAGCTCTGAGTCTATTGGTCCTAGCTGGAATATGGACATTGAAATGGAAATAAATTATAAAGATCTATGAGAACGTGACAAATTCTCTTAAATATATAGTTATGTAGGCCACTTGCATGGGTGGTGCAGTGTTAATCACATGCCGAACCTATTTTGTGGTTTGTTCATTTGTGTGAGCTCACATTTCTCAATAAATCTGAGCTCAAAAGTGCACAATGTAAATTTCTGCTATCTCGTTTTCTCCATGGAGATATTATTGCTCTGCCTAGAATATTCCAGAGTATATACTTAAAGCTTGTCTGTCTCCATGGAGGCAAGAAGGTGAAGAAGGCCACTAAGTCAAGTTACAGGTCAGGAGAGCTCACAGTAACAATGTGTGTGTGTGTTTTTTTTTTTTTAAGGGCCCATATTTTGCTATTTTCTGACTTATGTTATGATGTTTCCTCACCAAAAACATACCTGGAATTGTGTTTTGTTTCATTCACAAATGTTTAACACACAAACCCTGCATATTTAGGCTGAGTTCTTCTCTCAGAAAAGAAGAAAACACCTTGTGATGTCATGTGGTAATACAGAAAGTGCTCCACTGTGTTTTTAAACTCCATACACCTTCACTAGAATCATTTGGATAATTTCATCTCTGGAATTGCCAATCTCTACTGAAATAAAGGTAAAAGGAGTTGTTAACTTGAAAACTACAGCTTCATGGCATCACAAGATGGAACAGAGCATTTTAAGCTTTGTAGATGTAGACAGACTAATAATGCAGGATTACTCAAACATGTATGAATGAAACAAAACACAACTCCAGGTATGTTTTTGATGAGGTAACAGCATTATAACATGGCTAAAAGCTTACAGTGAGTCAGTTTGAACATAATATAGGACCTTCTAAAGTGTCTTCTTTGCAATAAAAACTCATGTAATTGAATAAATGCAAGATAGATAAGTTTAATACCATACTGTGGAAAATTTATGGCAAAGCAAAAACATTCACAGCCAGGTTTTTTAAGAGGTTTCACACTAAGGAGGTCTACTTTTTGTACTACTTTTGTACTTTGTGGATGTTTTTGGTTGGGGCTCTGTCAGCTGCGTGTTTCTGTGGAATGACATTATGACATTAAACAGCTCTACTTTACATTTATTAAATTACAGGTGGTTTTATAGCTCAAAAATACCTAGAAAAACAGGCATTCTGACTGTGAGTGAGTACACCTCTCCACAGATCTGACCTGTAACTTGTTCTGGTTTGGTCTCCGTGAAGATAGAAAGGTGTAACTTCATACTGTGAAACATTCCAGACAAAGCAATAACATCTTGCTGCCAGAAAAGTTACACAATGCACCTTTAAAGCATTAGTTGTTTAAATGCTGAGGTATAGTTTGGGGTTGGTCAAAGTCAAATCTTTTATTGATTGATTTGTTTTTTAGGTGAAGACATGAGGTGGCTGGGGACTGAGCCTGTGGAGTACACGAACTGGGAGTACAGCTCGTCCCCTTCAGACCTGGTGCCTGTGGACACGTGCGTGGCTCTGCACACTGTGTCCGGGAGGTGGGAGAACGTCAGCTGTCAGGACGACCTGGAGAACGGAGTAGTGTGTGAGACAGCGCAAAGTAAGACGTAACAGTGTTTATTTAAAGGGCCATTATTACACTATTTTCTGATTTATGTTAAAATGTTGTTTCCGCATCACAAACATATCTGGAGTTTTGTTTTGTTTCATTCACACATGTTTAATTAACACACAAACCCTGCATATTTTCCACCTTTTGATGTCATGTGGTTATACAGGGAGTGCTCCACTGTGTTTTTCTTTCATTAGACTAATTTGGATCATTTCAGCCCCGAAATCAGCCCCAATCTCTACTGAACTAAATGTAAAAAGCAGCTGTTAACTTGTAAAATACTTGCTTCATGACATCACAAGGTGGAACAGAGCATTTTGAGCTTTGGAGATGTAGACGGACTAATAATAAATTACTCAAACGTGTGTGAATGAAATTACACACAGCTCCAGGTTTGTTTTTGAGGAGGAAACAACATTCTAACTTGGCTTAAAGCTCACAAGAGTCAATTTTGTGTACTGTAGGACCTATTAACATGCTCTCAAAATTGCAGCCTTACCTCTCCGCTTATAAAATAGGTATTTGGTTAAGGTTAGGTCTGTAAGAATAACAAATTATGATGTATTGTTGGAGAAAATATTGTTAAAAATCGATAATATTGAAACAAATTTATGCCCCTGACAAAATAATCCTAAAGAAGAATCATTCCGAACAACTAAATGTACAAAATTGTTAGATGCAAGCTGCAATAAATAGCAGAAGGAAACACTTAAATAGCTAGTCTGTATATAATGAGTCATTTACTCAGCCTCATACAGCTCAAATCTTGTCGTAGTAGAGAAAAATTGTTTCATAGTAAAAATAAAGAAAAAGTACCCACCCTCCAAAATTTATTCTTCCAGCTATCATATATTTTAGTGTACTGTATATAGTAATAATTGTGACAGGCCTAGCTAGGGTCTCCTGGCGCCACCTAGTGCCTCTGCTCAATTTCATTCCTCTCCAGCAACTAGGTCAGGAATCAGAATACACTAGATGGTTCGCAAAAACCCCGGAAGTGTGAGTTTGGGTACCAGCCAATCAGCAAAGAGCCATGCATTCTGTGTTGGCAACGAGATCGAGGATTTAAAGACGTAACAAAGAGAATGTTTGGTGAATTTTATCAAGGGGAAAGACGTTATTGCCCTTCTTCCTGTGGAATTTGGAAAAGCTTAATATACCAGTTAACCCCATTGGTGGTGCATTACATACATCACAACCAAAGTAGTGATTGATTAAATAAAAACCCACCTAACGTCGAGCAAATGAATTCTAACGCTGCAAGATCAGACAGTTTGTATGAAGTGAAACCGGCTGATGAATCGGGCTTAAGGGTGACCACCTCCAATTGTAGAAAAAGAGGGACAAGTATGACATGGATAATAACTGCGATAACGTACAATTTTCAGTTTTTAATCAATCATGTGGCTTCCAAATTCCAACATATTATCACCCTAAAATTCAGTGCACCCTAATAGTATAGATTTATTTGTAAAGCAAAAAAATCAATATATTATAATGTTTTCTATATAAATCTCACTTTTTATACAGTTCATGTGACAACAATAAAAAGGTAGGTCATGCTCTAAATAATTGGGACTATTACCTGTACATTAAAAGTTATATTTGTTAACAGTCAGTTCAGAGTGATGAAAAATGTTGGGCCTTTTGAATGTAAAAGTACTAAAAATAGCAACCATAACTATTCAAATAATATTATCCTGTGCCATAGTATAATTTGTCGTCATATTTTGGGATTCGTACAATATGTTTAGTACAAAATAATCGAGTGAATCATTCAGCCCTTTCAGTTCAGTGAAAAATGTCCTTCAGGTAAGTATATGATTGCCACAACCCTAATAACAGACTGCCAGTCCTAACCCTGTATTTGGCAACTAGTATAATCCAGTGTAATTAGAATTTTCTTGGCTTTTTAAAATTGTAATTATATACACTTAAGCTGTTATTATTTTTCTTATCGACATAAACAAGTGTCATTCAAGAGCAAAAAATTTCACAGTTGCTTTGAAATACAATAGGGTTGTCCAGTTAATGGATTTTGATTGGGAATTACAATTATTGCACGTGAATAAATCTGGGAAAACCCTTCTGGATCTCAAATACTGTTACTGGACTCTATATATTGCACAGATTTTTTGGCAATTCAGAAGTCTAAGTATTCAAAAAACATCTTTATTGAATTTGAAGTATCAGGTTTATGTGAAAATACTGTTAAAAAGTGCTGAAATATCCTTTACAATACAATGTGAGTTAGTTCAGTTTTATTCTTTGTCAGCTATTTTACCACATACAGAAATTCAGCATTTTCTTCAACAGATTTCACAATAATAGAAAATCTGATCCACCTTCAGTAGAAGAGAGTAAAATGTTCAAAATAATCATGTTTACGTAATTTCTCCAAAAAAAGGAACGGCTCTACGTACTGTAAATGTCTAGCAGGAAGTATAATGCAATTGCCTAACAATGTCTTTCTTTTTTTTTACACATTTCAGAAACCGTAAACTCCACACGCAGTAAGTCTTTTCCCTTTGAGACTCTTTAAGCTTTTGTATACATTGTTTTTTTTTTACGTTGTTTACATCTCTCACCTTCCTTGCTTTGTCCGCTTTGTCCCTCGAAAGGACCGAACGCCGTGTTGTCCGCCCTGGTGATTCTCAGCGTGGTGGCCATCGTGGGAATCTCGGCCGTAATCTGGTTCCTGCAACAGAAGCACAACCTGGGCTCCGGTTTTCTCTCCGCGTTCGAGTACCACCCGCCCTTCCGAGTCCTGGACAATGACCAGTCCTGCCTGGTGGAGACCGAGGAGACCGACAGCGCGCCATAGGTTTATTAGAACAAACCAGTTTCAATTAAGTCGGTGATTAATTAGTACGTTTTAATAATTAAGATTTTCTATGTCTGATTCTGGGCAGCGGTTGAAGCAGGTTTGAGTGAAAGGGATAGTTCAGTATTTGATCTGATCGATGCATGTTAAAGGTTCTGTACCCGATTTATTTATTTTTTGTTTCCTCATGCATCGAATTACAAAGCGCTTTAGTGTCCGATAATCACGAGGTGCACGTTGGCATGCTAGTTGTTGTCTCTGCAAAGCACTGGTCTCTAAATGTCGTGAAAAGCGCTTATAAACTCGTTGCGGTGATTAATTTGGACGCTCAGATCGCACTGATATGTGAGGATAACTTCGGATCACTACAAACCGTGTAAAATGCTTAGTTTTTCACGTTTTTAAAAGTAAAAATCAGGTACAGCGCTTTTAATAGTGGCCAGTGTTTAAGTTGTAAAACTAAAACCAAACAGAACGATGCAATGATATTATTTAGTCGGGAGTTGATGTCTGAATGCCCGCTTTGTTACAGCACAGCCAACACTTTTGGTTTGATGGATATTTTTATGTATCCCAAAGGAAATTCGAGACAGATTTGCTGACCGTCTCCTCTCATTGTTTTCTCCTCCCATCTTTTTTCTCACTTTGATGATGGCAGACACAAGCCGACCATCCTGTCTAAACCTTTCAGCATTTTTGAAAGAAATTTTTTAAAGGCTTTGGTTCAATATTTAACTTTTTGTTCGGGGGTCCATCACCTGTTTGTTTCAATAGAAATGTCATTGCTCTGCCTGAAATGTTCCACAGTATGACATTAAACAGCTCTACCTTATATTTACTCAATTACAGGTGGGTTTATAGCTCAAAAATACCTTAAAAAAACAGCTATTCTGACTGTGAGCGGGGTCGCCTCTCCACAGATCCGACCTGTAACTTGGTCTGGTCTCCATGAAGATCTCCACAGTGAAAAGCATGTGACAGACCCTCTACCAGAAAAGCTACACAATACACCTTTAACTTATTTTAAAGCACAACTAAAGGCAGGTTTTCATGTTTTTACAGCTATTATCTAATCTAATAAAAATAAAGGTGCGGTTACATGTGTTTGTCTAACCAAACCTATTTGGTATTAGAACTTTGACCCGTGTCTAAAGTATGTTTGCTAATTTGATAACAGTTGCAGAATTACTTCCCTGCCACAATGCCACAATCTGGTGCCCAGTCAGGAAGTAAAATTATAAACACAGGAATTGGCAAAGTAGGAAAAACAAGGTACGATTTTTTTCATATGCACATAAAGCAAAGAAAAAAGTGTTTTGATTATAAACTTGAAAATGGAAAATAAATGGAAATGGAAGTACGAAAGTTGACCAAACTCAAATCCAAATACTGCATCATCCCTCAAAGATGTGTACGAGACCGCTCATGTGATCCAGAGGACTTAGTGTTGATACTAACTACGGCACATTTCACCACTTTTAAAAATCAAATGTTTTATTGCTATGAACTTGAATGTAGAATATGCATTTTTGGGAGACTAAAGAAGGTCCAGTAGAGTGTAGATTGTCACTTTAGAATAGTTAGTTTTAGCTGTGATTTTGAAAAGAGTTGCACTGGGCAGGGAAAAGGGCTGCTGTAATGGAGTCACAGAACAAACGAAGCTTTCTCTGATGTTTTTAAAGCACTAAATGAACATATGCTCATTACGTTTTAACTTTATTTCAATTTCAAACTACCCATGAATGAACTATGAATGTCCTCTGAAATTCCACTTAACTATTTTTTATAATTGTTAGTGTTAAGACAATCAATATTTTGCTATTAACGTGATTTCAGAATGTCGCAGGTTGCCTTTTCATGTTTTGTAAGATGTTGTTTTACGTGATGGCCTTAAAGCAGCAGCATGATTGCTTCTGTACACAAGGAGTGAACAAGTTTGGCGGTTTCTGAGCCCTAGTGTGTTTTGCAAAATAAAGCTTGTTTAAAATGTTGTTTTTTTTTCTATTTTCTATTATTACCCTTATCAAAATGTTAAAATGAAATGAAAAATATTTAGAAAGGGTGTGATTGTGTGATTTGGATGTATGTCTGACAAAGACCGGCATATTAAATGATTATATGTAGGCGTATATTTATCTAAATTAATAATAATCCCAGGGTATGGCTTTAAATTTAAAACAATATAACCTAATGCGGGCCGACAAACAGTAGTAAAGTAATCAAAAACTGCTTCATGTAATCAGTTTTGTATAAGGCATAATATCTTAACATTTTCTGTCAAAATACTGGGAAAATTTTGAAATATTTGATTTGGTAGTTGAATAAAAGCTCATGAATACAGTCCAAGGCAAAGCAACCATCTAAACAGCAGAGGGCACTGACCTGCAATACATTCTGTTTAGAAACTTGCCTTGGTCTAAGTCCAACCTTGATACGGTAAGGCAGGGGTGTCAAACTCAAATTCACAGAGGGCCAAAATTAAAAACTGGGACTAAGTCGTGGGCCAAACTAAATATTCATTGAAAAATTTCAACAACATCTGCATGTTTTCTCTTCTTTCAAGCTATATAATCCTTTTCCTTATTACCTTATTAAATTAAATGTTTAATAATAGTTTTGCCTAAACTCTGAATCCAGAACAAGCAAAATATAAAGTAATAACATTTTAAATAAATAATGTCTCTATAGTCTATCTGTAGCCGGTGGGCCAGCTCTAAAATATATTTGATATGATCTCGAGGGCCAAATATAATTATATCAAGGGTCAAATTTGGTCCCCGGGCCTGAGTTTGACATGTCTGCGGTAAGGAATACGGTATCATATTGGTAGGTTTCAGATGACTTCACAACATTTTATCGGTCAATATTATTTAATACAGATGGAGGCAGCTAAAATATTGTGTGAATATTGTTCAACTGCAGATTTTTGTTGTAATATAGCATTTTCTTGATTCTAGTCAGTAATAGAATGATCAGGTTCCATATTTGGGAATTTACCTTTCCGATATTTCATGGCAAAGCACAATGCAATCAGTAAGAAAAACTGTCTCTTGCCCCCATCTGGAAGTATAATATAATAATCTAAAATCTGAAAACCACCAATATTGTGATGTGTGAGCGACTGTGTCCAAATAATTTCCCTTGATCAATTCCAATCCATCAGTCATGATTAAAAGTGAACACTGGGTAAAAGGGACATTGGGCAGAGTGATCCGTAAAGCTGGTCACATGATCGGCTGTGAGCTGTAGACATTTGTCACAGTGAGGGACAAACTGCTCTCCATCACGGACACTCCTGCTCACCAACTGCACCGGAGTATAGAGGGACAGAAGAGATAATACTCCCTACAACTGTCCAACAACTCACCAGACTATTGAAAGACAGAGGAGCTCATTCTCCAACAGGCTCCTACAGCTCTGCTCAAACAGTGACAGATACAGGACTACATTCATACTATAATACTCCCTACAACTGTACAACACCTCACCCTTATGTGACAGATAATACTCCCTACAAATGTACAACAACTCACCCTTATGTGACACATAATACTCCCTACAACTGTACAACAACTCATCTTTATGTAACAGATAATACTCCCTACAACTGTACAACAACGCACCTTTATGTAAGATAATACTCCCTACAACTGTACAACAACTCACCTTTATGTAACAAATAATACTCCCTACAACTGTACAACAACTCACCTTTATCTAACAGATAATACTCCCTACAACTGTACAACAACTCACCCTTATGTAACAGATAATACTCCCTACAACTGTACAACAACTCACCTTTATGTAACAGATAATACTCCCTACAACTGTACAACAACTCACCCTTATGTAACAGATAATACTCCCTACAACTGTACAACAAACTCACTTTATGTAACAGATAATACTCCCTACAACTGTACAACAACTCACCCTCATGTAACAGATAATACTCCCTACAACTGTACAACAACTCACCTTTATGTAACAGATAATACTCCCTACAACTGTACAACAACTCAGTGCTGTGATTTTATATTTTATTACTTATCTTTCGATTTTATTTCAACTTGTACATTTACATTTACCATTTATATTTTTGCTCTTTGTTATTATATTATATTGTGATGTGTGAGCTACTTTGTCCAAATAATTTCCCTTGTGGATCAATAAACTTTGTCTTAATCATTCTTATTGCGTAAATGCAGGTTATGTGCAATAGTAAAAATATGTTTGTCAAAAAAAGGAATTATTTAGTTTTGATTTTTCTAACTGAAAACAAAAAAGGCCCTGTTCTTTAACAACTTCAAATTTCCTGTGTAACAATTCTCATTCTGTTTCTCCAGCAACATTTCCATTGGTGCGCAGCAGTTATAGAGATGCTTTTTGGGAAAACCAGCTAACGTTACTTTTCCCTCTTTCTCTCTGTGTTTAATGTTGCTTATATTTATTTATTTTATTTACCTGGTGGACATTGGAAGTTTGCAGGATGTCGTTTGATCTGACGTCACTTTAGTGGAGTTGCTCTCGGTGGATGGAAATCGCGTTTATCCAAACCGGAGAAGGCGCACTCCAAGGCGGACACACTCCTCTCACCGCACCGGGAGCATCACTCATCCAGCGAACAACTTTCAACACTAACCAGAAATATCTACCATCAAAAAAGGAAATATTCAGACATACCCCGGCTAAGTAAGTGCCACTGTGTTTTCTTTTTCCCTTTTCACGTGTTTTTATTTGCAGGGATTGGCGCTGTAATTAACGTTAATACGGTGACACTGATACTGGCTAGGTTTTACGCACGGCGAGCTAGCATACTTTTGTTTATTTTTCTGAAACTGTACGCAAGATAAAAGTCAGATCTATGTTTTTACGTTAAAGTTAGCATGTCAGATTATCTGGAAGTGCTGCTGTGAAAATTTGTTGTCAAGTGACACTTTGAAACATGTGGATCTGGCAAAGAATTTATCTTATTTTTGTTTCATCGCGTTTTCTTGGTAATCAAATCTGGGTGCAAATCGCTTAAAACAATGTAAATAGATAAAGCATAGATCATAGATATTGACATCTTTCTCTGCAGCACAATACTTTACCCCGATGATGGTCCAAATTAGTTTCAGCTTGTCGAATCTGCAGCTGTTGTGCAGTTGTGACTAGCTGAATTATTATTAAAGCTGCACTGTGTAACTTTTATGATTCGGTTTTTGCCACTTAGCTGTTTTCATAGAGATAGTATTGCTTTAGAATTTGGCATTATTTATCTTGTATTCATTACAGTACAGTCCCTATTGCTCAAAAGTACACAGAAAACATGCATTCTCTTCACTGGGGGTGCAAAAATATTGAAATATCGATATATCGTATTGTTTAATGAGATGATACAGCATCGATATCATGTGCTGCTGTATCGATATATCGCCAAGAGTATTTTTTTGGCATATTTTACAAAATTATTTTGTTACAGCGCTTCAGTTTTGTTGCTTGTTTAGAGGAAAGAAATTCATTTATGCAAGACATTTGACATTTTCACAGTTTTGATGATTAAAATGTTTGTGTTTCATATGAACTTTGCACAAGAAGTGGTTTAACAAACACTTTTATTATCACAGCCATGATTTAGCCATTATTTTTTTATTGAACTGTATCGAAGTGATTTGAAATATATCGTATCGAACCAAAAATGCACAGTATAGAGATATGTATCGTATCGTGGCCTATGTATCAAGGTATGTATTGTATCGGCAACTTCTTAATGATACCTAGCTCTACTCTCCACAGATCTGACCTGTAACTGGGCTGGATATTGTCACCTGCTTGTCTCCATGGAGATAGTTAAGTTTATTGCCATACCAAAGAATCAAGTGGCGTAACCTCCACTAGGGAAGTTACACGGAGTACCTCTAAATGTGCTAATAAAAAAAGAAATAAAATGTGTGATTATGCATGCGTGTACCAGTGAATCATAACACAGGTAGAAGGTCACTGTATTGTGCCTCATTTTTATTCACAGCACATGCCCTTGAAAGCTTTGGAGAACAGCGTGGAACCGGAGCATACAAAGCTTTTAATGATGTGAGCTTCAAGAAATCAAAGATTGAGGGGGTTATATTTACATACTAAGATTTACAGCTCCAAGACTCTATGTACTTCACACTGACTGCACAATGTCATTGTTCAGCTCATTCCCAATCACTGGTATTTGAAAAGGCTTTACAAACAAACTGATGGGAAATCTGAAATTGTGATAGGGCCTATTAAATGTCCACTATGTAACCTCTTTGGTGAAGGCACAAACACCTGGACATATTTCTGCCTTCTCTGAGATGTTGCACAGTATAGCTTTAAATGTCTCTCCATGGAGACATGCAGATATTGACCCAGGAGCACGTACATATTTAGTAGGAATGTAACAATAACCAAAATATCTTGATATCGTATCGTCAAAAGTCTCACAATAATATCATGGGCTGTCACAATATAATTACAAGTTCCTTTGCTTAAATGCATTTTTTTAAAGTAGCAGTAGCTAATGCACATCGGAACTACATATCCCATGATTCATTTCAGAGCAGACAACATGAAGTTATATGTTTTTTACTTGAATTCTTGGGATTCTGACAGAAATAATTCACACCAAAATCTTGTCAGGGTATTTTAAAAGAAAAAAAAACACATCTTATCTAGAATTATATCAACCTTTCCAAAATATCGCAATACATATCGTATCGTGAGATGCATATTGTAATAATACCACACCAAGAGATTTGGATATTGTTACATCCCTTATATTTAGCAATAAATAGATGCCTGTAATTGAAGATAAGTTTTGACAAAACTGTCAAAACACATGTGAAGGTCAACCATTTTTGCCATCAAATAGTTTCTATATTAGAATTGTTTGCCTGTCAGTCAGATACTAATAACTTATGGGTGAACTGTGTAACTTTTATTGTGGAGGGTCTTCTACCCATTTGCCTCCATGGAGATATTAGCTTTGCCTTGAATGTTCCAGAGTATGGCATTACACCTTTTTCTTACATGTATTTACTAATGAGTATTTTCTTGTCCCAAAATAACTTGCCATTTTGGTGTTTGCAGCTCATGTCCTTTGAAATGCATAACTTTAATAAATAAATGTAATAATACTGTGGAACATTCTAGACAAAGCAATAACCTCCATTAGGGCTGCTCGATTATGGAAAAAATCATTATCATGATTACTTTGGTCAATATTATAATCATGATTATACAAACGATTATTCTTATGTTACACAATGCATTTATTCAGCATTTCTCTCTCTCAAAAGAAGAATTTGTTATTGATAATTTATGCAAAACTTTCAAAATTAAATTAAATATAGGCTACAAATATGTACCTTAGAGCATAAAGTGACTAAAATATACTCTGAACATGAAATAAGTCATAGAAAAACATAAATGTATCCAAAATAAACTATATATCCAGCTGTTCTACAATCTATATATTTAAAAAATTTAAATAAATATACTTATTTATATGTGAAAAATCTCTCAATTGTCTAGGTAAAATCCATGGCAAAGGAGAAATTCATTTGTCAACTGGACAAAAGTGTATTTGGTCAAATAGGTTTCACAGCTCATCCAGAACCAAAGAAATTAAAGCATAATCATATACACACTAGAAAATCAACCTCAGAGTTAGGTTTAAAACTTAAATAATACTTTTTTTTTTAAGTGCATTTCTAACTGAAAAACATAAGACAGACATTGTTGTTCGTTCATTGTGTCCTTCTTACATAATTTCAAGTTTAATATTTTCCCAAGAAACCTCATAATATTCTATTCTTCTCTTCCACCTTTTGCTCAGGTCCGCCTCATTAATCAGAGATGTGGAGCGCCTGCTGAGGGGCTGAGCAGGTTCATCAGTTTGGCGTTGTGTGTGCGGTAAGCAACAGTGTGGGAGCTCTTAAATAAATGTGTGTGCTTCATATGCAGGAGCTGAAGGTTAATGCTGTATAATGCACTGTGCCCTCTCGGTGTTGATTGATGTCTGCGAGCACATGAACCCTGATGGGGGGGGGTCTGACGAGGGGGTCTGTTTGTAGGTCAGCGGTGACACTCGAGGTTCCTGTGGGCCTTGGCGGAGGTCGTTACAGTAATGTCAGGGAGATGATTCCTTGCTCGTGTATAAAGTCTGGTCGTATGTGGTTGAGTGGTTTGGATGAATGTGTAATGGCTAAACAGCAATTTGCAACTGGCAGTGATATATTGTAGTTTGCTAAAATGTTGATATTTGGTATTTTGGGTTAATAGTGGAAAATGGGTGCACGTTTGGAGTTTCAATTAGAGATATACCTATGTATCAGTTGGTCGATATATAGGGCAGATATTTGCATTTTTTAGGGTATTACATCGGTTTTTAAATCTCCAAGAGAGGACGGTTTTTAGTTTTGGCCAACATTCTTGCTACAAATACCCACAAAGCTTAACTTGAGTGCTGATCGAACTTAAATAACAAATAATACAAATCTGCCCTATATAATTCTGAACAATTGGTATCAGCAAAAAAAAAACATATCAGTCGATCAGTCTAGTTTCAATCATAAGTTTTGGTCCAAACTGGCAATGATTCCTTTCTGATTTTAAGGCTTTTGTGAGGACTTTTCCCACTCAAAAGATATTATATTTCCATTTGAATTGCGCTTTTGCTGACAACAGAGGATGGATCATCATTCGTGCCAAATCATCCAATTCAGGAAGGAATCCTTATGTCTGAAATGCATGTCCTGTACAGCAAATGGTGCAACATTGAAAATAACATCAGTGGGGTCAAGTTTATTTATGAAGCGCAGTTAAAAACAACCACAGCTGCCCAAAAGTGATGTACAAAGGCAATATCAAACAGAAACTCAAACTACACTTGTTTACCCTGCTTTAAAAGCCAGTGTAGATCAGAGTTAGCCTGATTCATCAGCCAGTTTCACTTTGTGGAAATCGTCTAACCTCGCAGCATTAGAATTCCTTCGCTCCACGGTAGGCGGGTACTTTTTTATTTAACCAACCGCTGCTATTTGGTCGTGGCCTATGTACCAAATCCCGTAGGAAGAAGGACAATAATGGTTTTCCCCTTGATAAAATTCACCAAACATTCTCTTTGTTCCGGCTTTAAATCCTCAATCTCAGGAATCGTCGCCAACACAAAATGTATGGCTCTTCGTTGATTGACTTTTGCTCAGACTCGCACTTCCAGGGTTCTTGCAAACCGTCTAGTGTATTCAATTTCTGACCTAGTCGCTGGAGAGAAATGAAATTGAGCGGAGGCACTAGGTAGTGCCAGCCTGGCTAGATAGGATCATCATTCGTGCCAAATCATCCAAATTAGAAAGGAATCCTTATGTCTGAAACGCATGTATAGCAAATGGTGCAACACTGGGGTCAAGTTTATTTATGAAGCACAGTTAAAAACAACCACAGCTGCCCAAAAGTGATGTTCAAAGGCAATATCAAACTAAAACTCAAACTACACTTGTAGATCAGAGCGTGTCTTTGCTTCAGAAATGATTTAACCACTTTTTGAATCACCCTTTTTATGTATGTAAAATGTAAACATGCCATTTCGTCGTATTTCACTGGTAGTGTGATTTTTCTTGTATAATAGGTTAAAGACAGCAGTGGGAGTGCTCATTATCTCGTGGACAGATGCATTCACAGTA